CAGTGTTGCCTAAAGTTTATGAAAAAGTAATCAACAATCGAATTTATAATTATTTGAAGCTAAACAAACATTTATATAAAAAAAATTTGGTTTTCAAAAAAGTTTTTCAACAGAGCATGCTACCATTGAACTTTAACAAAACATGCTATCATTGAAAAATAAAATAAAATAGTTCAATTTTTTTGATAATGAAAAATCATATATTTATTTATAGGGAGTATATATGTATTTATAGACCTTTCAAAGACATTAGGTACAGTTGACCACGGCATCTTACTATTAAAATCAAATCATTATGGTATCAAAGAACTAATTTGTGAACGGGTAAAATCTGAGAACAGAAACAAGTTGGTAATATGACTATTATTCTTAAAAATTTTCTATAATTTGGTTTCATTTAAGAATCAACATACTTTTAATAAAAGTATGATGATTAATAAAAGTATGTTGATTAATAATAGTATGTTGATTAATAAAAGTATGTTAATTCTTAAATGAAGCCAAATTATAAAATTTTTTCAAGAATAATAGTTAAAGATAAACGGGTCTCTAATATAACAAAAAAAAAGTTTTATAAAAGTTTTTTAAAACTTTTTTTTTGTTATATTAGAGACCCGTTTAGTTTTCAAAGGTGTTGGGGTACATCAAGATAGTTTGATAAAGCATTGATTTTTTTCAAAAATAATTCTGATATGAATGGATAACTTCTGCACATCAAGGCTTGATGAATTCTAAAAAAAATTAAAATTCACCGCACCCTAATGAATACACCTCAAAATGATGCTATTTATGGAATCTGCGAAACGGAGTTTTTTTTTTGGAGTTTTATACCCAAAAATGCTAAACCTTCTTTGATTTCCTTTTTTTTAAACATTGCAATTTGAAAAAATATATATACATATATAATAGTTATTAAACCAAAATTATATTAAAGTAATTATATAATATTTTATTAATGTATTTTTATCAATATATTTTCTTTTTTTCACGGTAATAAATTTATTTTTATATGATATACCTGAAAAAGAAAAAGAAAAAAATAATAATACCAATGAAAAAAACATTGTTTTTTAACTAATATTATAAATATTAGGGTAGATTTGGGTAATATGAGCACCTTGGTAATATGAGCATACTTAAATATTTATTAGATGTAAGCAGTGAAGTTAATGTTGTTTTGTATTTTTTGAATCGACTTTATGTGATGTTAACAGGAATCAGTACAAATAGCGTAAATATCATATAATGAAAACGCTGTTAAATTTTTTGCCTAAGTCTCTGGCGCGAAATTTTGGTTCAAAAATAATGAAATTAATTTTTTCATTAAGAAAAATATTTTAGCTATAAATCCAATCCATTTTTGTTTGAAAAACAATGCATAGAAATATTTAGTTTTAACTTTATTTAAGATGTCATTTTTGTGTAATATGAGCAGGCTCAAATTACCCAGTGTTTTTATTGAAATTACCTAATTTAAAATTGTAAAATAGCAGTGGTTTTAATTATAAATAAAAAAAAAAACATAGTAAAAGATATTAATAATACTATATAAAGAGTACACGGGAAAAAACGGCAAGGTCACATTTAAAATGTTTTGAGAAAGTCTATATTGACCATTTAGATAAATCTTCATAAAAAACAATGAAACCTAAAAACTAGGAAAAAATGGCATTTCTATAATAATTTATCTTAAGTTAACAGTTTTAATAAAATTTTTGTAATTTTTATTAAAATTTTTTTTTAGCTATCTTTATACAAAGACTTTTATAAATGATCAATATATACTTTCTCAAAACTTTTTGAATGCGACCGTTTTTTCCCGTGTACTCTTCATATATTTTTTTGTAATTTAAGCTCAAAAAATTTGAATTTTTATGGTTCTAAGGTTTGAGTTAATTAAATTGAAAAATATAACGAACTAATTTTATTTTGCGAAAAACATAGTAGTTTGTTTTAACAAAAAGTTGCTTAAAATTTGAACTTTTAATGAAAGGTTTTATTAAGAACAAATTATAATATTCCAAAAATTAGTTCTAATTGTGAAGCTGGTATTTTTTTTACTTAATGTAATTTTTTGAGCTATTTTAAGGTGCTCATATTTTAAGGTGCTCATATTTTAAGGTGCTCATATTTTAAGGTGCTCATATTTTAAGGTGCTCATATTTTAAGGTGCTCATATGTTAAGGTGCTCATATTTTAAGGTGCTCATATTTTAAGGTGCTCATATTTTAAGGTGCTCATATTTTAAGGTGCTCATACTTTAAGGTGCTCATATTTTAAGGTGCTCATATTTTAAGGTGCTCATATTTTAAGATACTCATATTTTAAGGTGCTCATATTTTAAGATGCTCATATTTTAAGGTGCTCATATTTTAAGATGCTCATATTTTAAGGTGCTCATATTTTAAGATGCTCATATTTTAAGGTGCTCATATTTTAAGGTGCTCATATTTTAAGGTGCTCATATTTTAAGGTGCTCATATTTTAAGGTGCTCATATTTTAAGGTGCTCATATTTTAGGATGCTCATATTTTAAGGTGCTCATATTTTAAGATGCTCATATTATAAGGTGCTCATATTTTAAGATGCTCATATTTTAAGGTGCTCATATTTTAAGATGCTCATATTTTAAGGTGCTCATATTTTAAGATGCTCGTATTTTAAGGTGCTCATATTTTAAGGTGCTCATATTTTAAGGTGCTCATATTTTAAGATGCTCATATTTTAAGATGCTCATATTTTAAGGTGCTCATATTTTAAGGTGCTCATATTTTAAGGTGCTCATATTTTAAGGTGCTCATATTTTAAGGTGCTCATATTTTAAGGTGCTCATATTTTAAGGTGCTCATATTTTAAGGTGCTCATATTTTAAGGTGCTCATATTACCAAGTGGTCTTTGTAATATGAGCACTTTTGCTAATTTTTTTAAATTTATGTGTTTTTAAGAAAAAATTTCAGGTGCCTAAATATCTAAGTGGATCATGAGTAGGGATCCTTAAAAATTTTATTCTCAAAAATTTTGGATTCAGCATAATTATTTTTGAAAATACTCCGATTATCGCTTAAGGTGCTCATAATACCCTAATCTACCCTATATATAAGTTATTATACCAAAATTTTAGATTTTAGAACTCTTTAGTTGCAAATTTGTTAATTTCATGAACTTATTTTTATAAAAACAAATAACTTGTGAATATTTCAAGTAAAAAACTATATCTACAACTTATATTTAATATATTTTTAATGACAAACAGCAGTCATCAAATATTTCTAGCTAGAGTATAACATATAGAAAACTATAGTATATTTTTCACTACTGCGATATTAACACTCAAAAAAAAACACGATAAAAATATATATATTCAGGCAGCCTAATATATGAAAAAAAAATTTTTTTAGAGTTGTTTTTTAAGAAAATCATAATAGTATGCGTATTAAGGACCGGCGAAGTAGACTTTTTAGGACTCGAATTTAAATGAAAGACGAATTCAGATCAAATGCGTATACCGAATTTAACTGAAAGACGAATTCGGACTATTAAACCTAATTTAAGTGAAAGCCGAATATGGATTTTAAAAACACATTTAATTAAAAAACAAATATTTTAAGAGTTTTATAAGTTTTAAAAAAAAATTTTTTGTTTTTGTTTTTTTGTTTTGTTTTTTGCTTTAAATGTTCAGAAATGACCTATCGGTTTTGCCACGGAGTACATCAGAAAAGTATAAAACTAGGAAGTTCAAACCTCCTTCTTTACCGATTGGACAAAATATGTCCAGGGTTTGCTTCGAACCCTAGATCTCATGCTTCTAAAGCAAGCGCTGACCACTGCGCCGTGGTTGCTGTATAATCATTTTTTATAAACTAAAATTATTATTTTTTAGCTTGTAATTAACCATAATTTAAAACATGACATAGAACAAATGAAGATAAGTAAATTTTAACTTATTAAAAATATATTCACTTACAAAAAACAATTTGCATCAAAATAAAAAATCTAAAAATTCAGTAATAATGAGAATTATTTAGTTATTAAATCTTTACAATTCTTAATGTTTTTAAACGAGCATGAACAACAAAACATTTACAACGGTTATTGAAAAATTTTGATAGTCAATTTTATAAAGGAAAATAATCGTTAAGAATATTAGGTTATTATTGTTTTTTATTTATAGGATTTTTTATAAGCGATAAATAAGATTTAATAAGTGAAGAATTTGTGCCTAAAAAAACTTTTCGAATATTGACTCTATAAGACAAATTTATTTCTAACTTTTTTTTTTTTTTAACTGAACTCATGTTCCCAAGGCTGGGCGGGCAAGGCTTTAGTCGAGGAAGCTACTTCTTATATTGCTTAAAACCTTCTCTCAACTCTTTAACTCCGAAACACTTTTTGGAGTTAAAGAGTTGAAAGAGGGTTGTAACCAATAGAAACAGGTTGATATACATAAAACATATAATATATTTTATTATTCTTCTACTTTATAAATTGAAAAAAGTTTTATAGCTTTTTAATTTAACGTTAAATTTCAGTTATAACTGAAACTTAAATGGTCCGGCCGGTCCTTAATGTGTATTGTGCTGAGTCCCTTAACTAAGAAAAATAAAATATCACGCACCAAAATGGAATTACCCAGAAGCTATTTTTTTAACCTATGAGCCACTAAAACTTAAAGTATCTAAAACCATTTAAACTGTCGGGAATATTTTATATTTAAATAGAAATAATAAGTTTTATAATTCCAAAAACAAATTCATTCATTTAAATTTTCCCAAGTCGTCACGACGATAGTATTTAGACGTTGTTAGTAAAAAAACGAATGTTTGTATGCTACGTTATACATTAACGGAAGACGTCATTAATACACTACGTGGTATTTATTTTGCTAAAGCAAAAATTGTTTTGGTCAATTTTGCGATTGCATGGTTAAAAATATCTATTTTTACATATTATTGTTTTTTTTTATGACATCATACATTTTGACTATGGATGTCAATTAGTTTTTGTTTTTTTTGTATAAATTCCATTTCACTATTTTTTATTTTAATAACGTACCTTTGATTCAATAAGAACCTTGCTCTTTGATATTTGATTTGACAAGAATTTTGCTTTTTGACGTTAAACTTTAGCAACTTAATTTTTACATTTCGAACTTGTGATATGGATGGTATGTTCTGTTAAAATTATTAATTTACTTTAGATGACGGGGGTTTCGTTGAAGTTATAAAACTTTATACGTATTTTTAAACTTAAAAATTTTTATTTTTAGGAAAAAAACTTAAAGAAGGAGGTAAGTCTACAATAAGATAATTTGTTTGAAAAAAAAAAGGAAAGTTTTGTAAACTTTAAAAAATTCAAACTAATTGAAAAAACTACTGGACAAAATAATTGAAATATTGTTTTTTGCTTTTTTTTTTATTAATTTAATTATTACTGTCAAATTGCTTTCTCTAAAAACATTTGGCCATGATAATTTAATGTATGTTAAATAACCTAGGGTTTTTTTTTTTTAGCAGAAAAAACAAAGGAAAAATGTATGTTTATTATTTTGGGTTTATCTAAATAACACTGTTTTAAATATAAAAGAGATTAAATTTTTTTTTTTCTTTTTTTTGAACTTTTTTTAAATAAAATTTTTTGTTATATTATTGAAAAATGTTGTAGACTATTACTTTATTTTTTTCAGGTACCGATTTTGTGAAACAACATGGTACATATTACTTTTACTAGTAAAATATTTTATATCAAGACATAACAATGTTTAACAGCGAGACAAACAAAAACATTTCTATTTTTTTGTCACAAACAAAGTTGTTATCTAATAATTGAAACTTATATTTATTTTTAGATGGGAAAGTAACCGAAGAAGGTAGGTTTCGTTAAAATATATAGGTATCACGTATTTTTATGTTTACCAATATTTCTAAACTGTTTGCTTGTTTATGATTTTACCAAAACTTTAAAAAACAACTGCTTTTAAGCAACAGTCAATTAACTGATAATTATAATAATAATAATAATAATAAAAATAATAATAACAATAATAATAATAATAAAGTGTTCTAAAAAACGCAATATGTTTTAGACGTCTAAAAAATATTTAAAAAACGTATTAAAAAGTTTGTAGACGTATTAAACACATCTTGTGTTTACCAGGAAATAAAGATTCTCAAAACCAAGAATTATAATTTTGAACTATTGTTTTTTTAGCTAAACAACTCAAAGCCAATGTAAGTTGATTAAATTAAAAAGTTTACTTTTCTTATGCTTAAAGTCTAGACAAATCAAAAGTTACATTTGCTCATTTTAAAAGTGTAATTTTTTTTATTAACAGGTGGCCGAACCAACAAAAAGTTAAGTAAGTTTATTTAATAACTTTGAAATTTAGTTTATTGTTGTAATATATGAATACAAAAAAAGAATATAAGTTATATTTTATACATTATATTTTATATATTATATACCTTATTAAAACGCTTTCTTTAGAATATAGAAAAGGCGATATTTCCATTGTTTCTTGGTCTTGATTAAATTATTTTGTTTAAACCGGTTTTTTTTTTCCGTAAATAAAAATGTCTTACTTATTTATGTGTTTTTTTTTTTTTGCTTATCATATTTAAAGTTTAAATATGATAAAGTTTACTTTTATACTTTTTTTAACTTCTGAATGCTTTTTCATTTTATTGCGATAGAAATTAAAACGTGTACTGCGTAATTAAATAGTTAAACCTAGCAGATACAGGAGCTTTATTTTCAGTAAAAGTTTTCAACATAATAGAAATCAGTTTCATATCCAGCTTTATTATGGGATATGTACATTTTCTTATAACAACTTTTATTAAATAATGCATTTTGTAAATATTGCATTCTGGTAATTTTTAATAAAAATTTTTATAATAATTATAATTAATTATTATAAAAACTAGGAAAACATTAGGATGCATTTAACGGAATTTAAATATTACTAATTTGAATATTACTATTTAAATATTACTAATTTAATTTTACTAATTTAAATATTACTTCCCAGTTAGCACAGGACGTTTTTAAAACGTTTAAAAAACTTGTTAAAACGAATATTAACGATTTATAAACGTTTTAAAAACCATCTATGCTTATTGGGTTATAATATATATATAACTAATAAATTTAAATACATAACTTATAACTAATAAATTTAAATATTACTAATTACTTTTTCAGAGCTTTTTAAATAATTATTCAGAGCTTTTTAAATAATTATTTAAATAATTGTTTAAAAAGCTCTGAAAATTTACTAAAAGTTGACAAAAAAAAAAAAAAAAAAAAAAATATGACTACTTTTTCATTTACGGCCGTGAAATTGTTCATTTGCAAATTTTTCTCAGTTTTTATTCTTTTTTATAAATCTTTTCTTGTTTCTTACGTAAGAAACAAATGTATACATCTGTTTTGCAGAAAAAATCTTGAATAGTGTAAGATTTTACGTTTAATTTAAATGAGTTTTTTAAAATTAAAGTTTTACCTTATTTTTGTAATCTAACAGTTTTAACATGATTGTACGTGATTATTTGTAATCTAACAGTTTTAACATGATTGTACGTGATTATTTGTAATCTTACAGTTTTAACATGATTGTACGTGATTTTTGGCATCTTTTCGTCCACTGCGACGCGCTCGTTCATTTTTCACATTTTTTAACTCTTAACTACTGTTTAAATTGTTTTATCACCTTTATTTCATTTTCCTTTCATGTTTTGTTTTCTTTTAGTCCGTCGATCCTAAGATTATTTCTTCGTAACCGATCCTTAATTTCTCCTTTTTTTTAATGTCAATAATCTCAATTTTTTTCAACAATAGCGACTCCAACAACAACAAAATATAAATCAAACATAATTAGCTACAAAAGCAAAAACATTACCAAATAAATAAGCAGTAGCGCAGCGTTAGAGTTTTGGCTCAGAAACCAGAAGTCCGAGGTTCGATGACGGTTCTAGCCTAACAAGCGACATTGGTACGGAAGGTGGCGTCAACTAGTTAAATGCTCTCCCGCGGCGCTTGTGAAAAAACCGTAAAGAGCTAAATAACTATAGAAAAAAAAACAACAACAACAAAAACCAAACAATGGCGACCCCAGCATTTATATTTTAAATATTTATATTTTAAGATAAAATAGTTATTATTATTCCAATCTTTTTTTTTAATTTTTATTAATTCTATCTTTTTTTTAATAAAATATTTTATTTTTCTAATAAAAGTGAGATTACTATATTAATTTATTCAAAAAAAAGCACACACACAAATAAAAACACACATGCAAATATATCTTCTAAGTGAGACAAATTTGTTATAAACCTTGAAAACAAAATAATTATAGGATACACATTGCAAGCAAGTTTTACTGTTACAAACACGTGGGCGCATAAAACATTTTTTTTGCTTTTGAATTTGAGCTTGCTTAAGTAGGCTTTTCACTTGGGCCAAATCTTTTTGATCATATTTTTGATTTAAAGTTTAATTTTCATAAACAGTATCTTCATCATTGTCATTAGAGACAATAGCATCTACTTCACCATTAGTTTTGATACTCTTCATTATCTGTAAGGTTGTCATCAGCTAAGACATCACCTGGTAATAATTTATTCAAAACAAAAACATAGTTAGCATCAACTGCAGCAATTTTTATTAATTGACTAATTATATATATTTTTTTCAATTTTTGAAAAAATGAGCAAAATATCAAATGTTTTAAAAATTATTAGTTAGCATCATAAAATTAATATTATTATCATAAATTCATACAATTACAAAAGACATAATGTCACCAATTTGTGACATAAAAATATGAAACATAAGCACCCTATAGTTGTTTCAAAAGCTTATATAATTTATGTAATGTGTAAAAACAAATCATTTTACACTTGCAACTTTATTATATGATACAAATCAAAGCTTTTTAAAACTAATCTTTTTTTTTTTTTTTTTTTTTGACTCATCAATATTAGTAAATTATATATGTATAAATTATGTATAAAATACATATAAAATAAATATATGTTAATAATCTATACATTTATTATAATTAAAAATTTATTTCTGATATTGGCTATGGTAACCTAATTGCCAAAGAAAAACAACTTAGTTTATAAAATCTTGACCTATGGTTACTAAAAGTTAATCAAAGAGTTGACCAGCTAGTCGATTCTCTTATAGAGAAAGATAAAATTATCAATGAATTAAAAAAAAAAGAATTGACGAACTTGAAATAAATAAAGGTAAAAACCAAATACAAGATACCAACATGAATATTCCTAGTATACAGAAGTTATACAGCCAAATGGTATCAGGCAATAAGAACAGCATAACAAAAGAATTTCTAGCAGCTATTGTCGTAGCAGTAACTAAAAACAACAAAGAAAAAATAAACCGCGAGAAAAACATTATAATAAGTGGAATTGATTACGTCAATTCAAATACAACAAATGATGAAAAAGCAACCCTTTTATTATTAAACAGCCTTGAAATTGGCAACGAACATCCTAGGAAAAAAAGAAATGATCTTAACGACAAACTCAAATACACAATTGACAACAATATTAGGCTAAGATATGACATTGACGTAAATCATAAAATAAAAAATACCACTACGGCATAAGAAATCAACTATTAAAAAAAATATTTATCAAAGAATGATTTTATTATGTGCCGTCATTTAACTATCCAAATCAACTTAGCAATAACAATACAAGCTTAACTAGTAATAACCCTACTCTTGAAAATTCACAACCTAAACAGTTCATATTTATTAAACCAAATGATATCATTGAACCAAATGATCCAATCTGAAGATTTTACAAACGAAGCGATTAACAATGTCTTTAATTTTCAACTTTGATAACTTTATTCTCTCCTTTGATTTCTCAATGAAAAAAATACTATCAATTTTGCATTTAAGTATAAACTCAATAAAATCAAAATATATCACAGAAATCAAACCAATACTAGATTTAAATTTGATAGATATAATAACGCTCAATGAAACAAAACTTAATGACATATCTAACTAAAGAATTTCTTTCTAATATTACAAGACTCTAGTAGAGACAGAAAAGACAGCATTAAAGGAGGTGGCATTCTCATTTACATCAAAAACAACTTGAAAGTTTTATATTCGAATAGCAGTTTTGATTATGAGATTATTCATTTCTAAGTGATGTTTAACTAATTGAAAAACAAACTTGTATGCTGTTATAAACCACCAAATATTAATTCTCAATGCTTTAACAACTGTATAGAGAGCCTACTATTAAATCTCAACCAAAACGAACCAAGATTTATTGTTGGTGATCTAAATGAAGATCTTAACTCGCAATATAAAATGCATCTAAATGAGTTTCTCATGAATAACAACTTAAACAAGAATGTTTGAAAACCAACTAAAACTACAACTAAATTTAATATAAAAGAGAAAAAAAATTTAATATAAAAGAGAATAAATACAAAACATTATTTTTTAATAAATTCTTTTGTACATTTAAATCTAATTCCGATTGTATACAAATGATTTATATAACTTTATTAACAACCACTTTGATAATCTTCAAATAACTCATAATATTTTTAAAAAATTATTATTTCTCATTTTATCCTATTAATAAATATGAAATTGTCGATGCAATACAAAACATAAAAGAAAAAAGTTGCTCTGGTTATTGAGAAATTCCAACAAAAATTATCAAAAAATCATAAGATTCAATCGCTGATCATTTTCAGCAAATGTTTAGAAACAGGCTGTATTTCAAGTGAATTTAAAATAGGTAGCGTTATGCCACTTTATAAGCAGAAAGGTGATATTCATGATATTAATAGTTATCGAAGTAATGCTATAATCTCTCCATTAACAAAAGTGTTTGAACGAATAATTGCTAAAAGATAATTGCAATCATTCGTGTGAAACTGCGTTGCACATTCTTATCTCTAAAGTAAAAAACTAAGCAACTCCAAAAAACTCTTTACATTATCATTATTTATCGATTTTAGAAAGGCTTTTGACTAGATTCCAAGTTATTGATTATGAAACTTAAGCATTACGGTTTTTCAACTGATGCTTTGAACTTTAATAAGCAACTACTTTCATACCCAGTGGGCACCGGACCTAAAAAAAGACGTCTTTTGAACGTTCAAAAGACGTCCAAACCGTTCTAAAGACGTTCAAAAGACGTCAAAAACGTATATAAGACGTTTAAAAGACGTCTTTTTTACGTCCTTGCCGACTGGGTAATAGAAAATTATTTACAATGCATACTCTAATGAAGAACAAGTTAATATCGGTATACCACAGCATTTAATTTTATAACCTCTTTTTTTTTTGGTTTTTATAAATGACCTACCCGAATATCTATCGCTATTTGAGTCAACATTATTTGCAGATGATACAACTCTAATAACAAGTGATACAAATATAAATTATCTAATTACAAAGTCAGCATTTAATAAATTTACCGAGTGGTGCTATGCTAATAAACTCGACACCAATTCAGATAAAACAAAGGCAATGATTTTAACAAATAAACATACAACCAAAATAATATTGCTAACATCAATCATATTAGGTGAGAAGTTCCAAATTGAATTAGTAAATTCATTTTCTTTGCTTTGTGTCATTATTAACAGCAAATTACATTTTACCGAACACATAAAAAAGATAAAAGCAAAAGCTTATAAAAATTATTCTCAATAACTAACATTTTTGGTCTTGCCTTTAAAGTTAGTCTTCAATTCATCAAAACATTTATTCTACCTAACTTTGATTACTGTTCAAGTCTTATAATTTACTACACAAGAAAAAAAATTCAAAGCCTTAGTAATGCATACTATATGATTTTATTCTTACTACTCAAAATTAATATTCAAAACAAAGATATATTTCAAATAAATCAACAACATTAAATAAATAGAAGAATAAAGATTTCAAAACAAATTACAATCGTCTTAATCGTTCCGTTAAAGCGGAAATATTTAAAGCAAAAATATTACATGAAAAAGAATTAATATCAAAATTTCAGAACAACCCCAAACTCGTCTACAAATACATTAACAATCAACTAAAAATTTAAAGATAAAATTCGTTCTCTCAAAAATGGTTCAGGTGAAATTACTGAAACTCTTTCCGATATACTTGAACTTCTGAACTCTCAAATCAAATCTATGTTTACTCTTGAAAGCTTCGAAAATTTTCCATTGTTAAATAAAAGTGAAGTTAAACCTAAATTAAATTATAATAACAACTTGGATTTCTCTATTGAACATTATTAATGATAATAATAATTTGCAATAGAGAAATCCAAGTTAATACCAATCTAAACCCCTACAAATCTTTTTGACCTGACGGGTTGCACCCTTTATTACTTAAGATATATGCCCAAAGCTTCGCAATACCGTGTACGAAAATCTTTTATGAATCTTTTAATTCTGGAATAGTAACAACTTTCTGGAAATTAGCAAATATTAGTCCGATCTATAAAAAAAAGGGAGACAAACTACTTCCAGAAAACTATCGCCTCATTTCACTAACCTCTGTTGCGTGCAAAATATTTGAAAAAGTTGTAAAGAATAAAATCTTGAAGCACATCAACGATAACTATCTGCTCTCTACAAATCAACATGGCTTCTTTCAACATAAGTCTTGTATAACCAATCTAATAGAGACTGTTGATATTATTTCTTCTTTCCTAGCATCGCACCAGTTTATAGATGTAATCTACCTTTTTTTTAAAATGTTAAACTTAAAATCTCATGTTAAAATTAAAATCATTCGGAATAAACGGCAAACTACAATGGACTAATCCCTTCTTAGAAGACAGAAAGCAACGGGTTACAATTAACAACACTAGCTCTGACTGGGTTGATATTCTTAGTAGTGTTCCTCAAGGTTCTGTTTTCGGCCCGCTCCTCTTTATTCTTTTTACAAACGATCTTGCCCAACTTACAAAAACCTCTGAAGTATTTGCCGACGATATTAAACTTTTTTCTAAAACTTTATTGCAGACTAATTTCGTTGATCTGATGAACCGTTTACTCTTAGTATATGAGTGGTCAAACACTTGGTTACTTAAATTAAACATTTCAAAATGCTGAGTTATCAATTATGGTAAAACCAATCCTATGTATAGTTACTTTTTGCAAAATAATCAAGGTATAAATAAAAGCCTAAGAAGCTCTACTAAAGAACGTGATTTAGGAGTCATTTTTACATTTAACCTCAGGTGGAGCACACATAATCAATCAGTTGTCTCCAAATCTTTACAATTTCTTGGTATGCTAAAAATTACATTCGCAATCGTTGATGAAAAAATGTTTCTCAAATTATATAAAGTGTTTGACTTACCAAAATTAGTTTGAAAAAAAGGTTTTTGAATTAAGCTACCATTTTTTAAGTTGTATTTATTTTTATTTTTTAAAGTATATAGATTATGAAAAGAAATAGGAGATACAATAGATTTATATTTGCACATAAAACAAAGTATGTTAAAAATTCAGCTAATAAATATTAAGAATTTTCATTTCAAATAAGAAAGGCATGGACATGAGCAAACCTATCTTTAAAACGGATTAGACAGAAAATATGCCTCTGCTAACGATAAAGTGATAACAATTTAGATTTATTGGCTTACCCAAGGAAGTGTTTGCATAGTTTATATGATAGTGGATAAAAGTTTGTTAAAATGTGTCTAATTGTGATATCACAGAATGTGTTTAATTGTGATATCACAAAATTTGATAAAAGTTTGTTAAAATACGAATGACAATGGATAAAAGTTTGTTAAAATATGTTTATTTAAAGTATTTTTTGTACATTATTCATATTCTTTTAGCAAGGTTGTTGCACAAAAATTCAATTAATTCAAAAATCTAATGAATCGGAAGATACAGTTGAATTACTATCAACGAACTGTTTACGGTTGCTTAAAATAATTTTTTAGTAGCATTAAAACGTTTCTTTTAATTTCATAGTACGCTAATTTTTTAATAAAATTTTGTGATGAAGTAATAAAAATGTATCATTGGCTTTTGATAAGTAAATGAAAACTCCCAACATATATTGAGGTTTCTCAAAAGATTCAGCAATACTGCTGGTAATTTGGAGTATTGCGTATTTTTTTGAATTACTTTTTTTAAAGTCGTACTGATTTTGATATTTTGATTTTATCAATACATACATATTGCGTTTATTATTTTATGTACACCTCACTGCGCCTATTCCTATTTAAATCAATTGATGGGTAGGTCCCTTTTCTTTTTTTTAAATGTAATAATAATTGATAAACTGTAATGTTACTTTTGATTTACAATAAAAATAGTTATTACATAAAATAGTTATTCATATAAAACTATAAACACTTCAAAATAAAACATGATTGCACACAAAAAAAAGTTACACAAAAAGAACTTGATACCGCATATTAAGCTCCACGAGTATTAGTAATATCCACAAGACCACGCAACTACTGTGCTAGAGAGCCTTGGCGCAGTGGTTTTGAGCCAAGACCAAAAAATATGAAGTTAAACGCCGGCTTTAGCTTAATAAGCGACATTTGTAAGAAAGGAAGCGTGGACTACCTAATTAAATGCTTTTCCGTGGTGCTCTGTGATAAGACTATAAGAACTCTTAAGAGCACTTTACTTTCGGGTCATTAATTTTGCACAAAACTTCTACCTTACATTTTAGTTATGTAAAAGAATGCAGTAGCTATTTGAATTTTAAACGAAAATGTTCAATAAGTGTTGCGTCGAAAATACTACAAATAAAAATAGAATTGATTTTATATCTGATATCGCATTTTTATTGTGTGAAAAACTTTATTTACTATCTTATCTTAAAAAAATGTTGGATTTGCTGCCAAAAATAAGAAAAAAAAGTTATATGAGAACTATGTTTATGGATTATTTTTATAAAAAAACAAAAATGTTTTTGGACTTCAGGATTTTTGAAGCATCTTTTCTCTATTTAAAAACAATATAATGTATTTTTTGATATTTTGTTATTGCTTTTTGTAGCTTATTTTGCTTTATTTTGAAAATTATTGAGACGAACTTAATGTTATATTTGTATTTTTTTATCTGTGCTTTTCCATTAGTGTAATTTACATTTTATAAGAGTTAAAAATTTTTATCTTATAGATTCGATTTATAGATTTTATTATTCTCTTTAAGATATATAAAGTAAAATAGGAATATTATATAAACAACTAGTAAGGCGCCTAAAGATGTCGTTTCCATAAACGATGATGAAAAATTGTTGTATTTTTTGTTTAAGAAATGGTTTCGATAATTACAAACATTGTTTACTACATAAAATATTCACCCGAATCTATGAACAGTAGTTTTAAATATCTCATATTCCTAAATTCAAAATATTTCTATAAGACGTATTAGAAGAAATATTTCTATAAGGTTTTTTTAAAATACTTTTATTTAATTTTTTGTTTCCACCTTGGTTTACACGAACATGGTTTCATTTGAAACTTTTTGTTTACACTTTGAACTTTGGTTTCTGTCCATTCAATTAAGTTCAAGTTTGGTATCTTTCGGAAATGGATATTGATCCACCATTATTGAGAGAAGACGAAGATACAAATGTTTTCAATCTAAAAAACGTTATTCTAAATTCTGTTTTAGCATCGTGGCTTAAACAAAGATATATGAAAGGATTAAGTAAGTAATTTACAACTGCAATAATCCAGACTGACATCAAGAATCTAAAGTTTAAATTTTGCGTCAAAAGAAAACGGAGTGAAAGTACAAAACAAGGTATCCAACAAATTAAAAAAACCATTACCAATCCAATGGTTATCCTTATTAATCGACATTCTTTTGCGTGACCTAAAGTTTTGTGGTTTAGCTGATTTGCAGATAAAGCGTTTATCTTGTGGAGCTGGCGTCTGGCCTCAACAAATATAAAAAAATTAGACAAAGTTAAAGTTATTAACCCTAAAGATATGAAACACACAAGACAAGAATGTAAAATAGTATAAAAAAGTTCATGGAAGACCTCAACATAAGTTGCAAGTAATTCAAAGGTTAATATATCTAGAACTGCAAAAAGCCAAGAAATTGATATGAAGTAATACACGTACTTGTTCAAAAATTTATCTGTGTAAAAAAACGGTTTCGTCACTGCTATTACTCTATCTATTGTTAGAAGCATTAAATTTGAGATTGATATTGGAGCAAACGCTGCAATCAAAATAAGCCAATGTTGCTGCTGAGTATGGAACATGGCGTCGGTGCTGAGTCTCTTGTCCGAAATAATAGATGCAGCAAAACAAACGGTTGCTATAGAAACGCATGTATCAGATAAAACCATATTAAACAAAAACTTGTTTGACTTTCTTTTTAAAATATGTTTGTTGTTACGCAAAAGAAAACACGCCAGAAGAAAATTTACTAAAAGACTGATAGAAGATATCACTAGAAGTAGACATTTTAAAACAAAATCTTCGCTTTGACTTTCAGACATTTTTATTAAAATCTTAAATAAATAACAAACAATTAATAGTTAAAGAAAAAGTACCATCATTATTTATCTACTTTAATGTAATGATTTTTTAAAATAAACTTGTTTTTTCTACATTACAATCATGCGTTTATATGAAAAATGCTCGTATATATGTCTATTTTGCTCATATTAGTGCAAGTGAAAAATGTATCTTTTGATTACATACTAATCTTTCTTGTAGATGTGCAGCCACTTGATCTATATTTTATGACTATAATATAAATGAATCGTTTCATCAAAAGTTTACGCTAATTTATAATAGTAGATAAACATGCCTCAAGGTATAAAGTAACGTCAAAATGCTAAAAGTGAGACGTTAAACTAACAATTTTTTGTTTTGTTTTATTTAACAACCTATAGCCAACAATTTAATAAGAAACATTATTTCATAACTTTTGAGATATTAAAATAAAGCTCCTATCTGATTTAATCTGATTTGAATTATTCGGATTATTTGGCGTTGAGAAATTAAAAAACTACGATTAGATTTGCAATTATTGATAGCTAACAATTTTTTACCAACAACTTATCGCGTGTGTTTTTTTTAATACATAAACTTATATATATATATATATATATATATATATATATATATATATATATATATATATATATATATATATATATATATATATATATATATATATATATATACATATATATATATATATATATATATATATATATATATATATATATATATATATATATATATATATATATATATATATATATATATATATATATATATTTTCTTTCTGAAATTTTTTTTAATCATCAAAATAAAGGCAGTAATAAAAAGTTGTTTTTTAAAAAAATTTTATATGCATAATTTAAAATGTATGAGCATTACTTGAACCAATAAATTAATTTTTTAAAGACTGACACTGCATGAGATTTTTAAGAAGTTTGTATGTGTTTACGTTAAATTGTGTTTGAAGTTGAAAGAAACGAAAAATATGTTTAAAAAAATTAAAATTCTTTGAAATATATTCCGCCGTTTAAGAACAAATAAAATAAATATATATGTACAAAAGAAAAATAATGGCCGAAGCAAGATTTATTATTTCTAAATCTTAACGTATTAACATGGTTTACGACACGGTTTTGAAAGTGGACACAGTCGTCAATAGAAAAAAGTCAATAGAAGTTTTATGAAATAAAAAAAATACCTTTACAAAAAAATTCAGGGGGAGATCAGTGACCCCTGGATCCCCCTTCTTTCCCGGTGTCGTCTCTGATAAAAACGAGCTTTGATAAAAACGCAAATATTAAATATTAAAGAAATTTTTAACAACAATTTTTAAAATTTGACTAAACTTTCCAATAATTTTGATCAAATAAAGATCTAAAATTATAAATTATTAACGTCATAAGTTTATTAAAATGTGATTTGTGATAAAGATTTTTGTCTTAATATAAATTTGTATTTCCTATTTATCAGTTATACTACAAATAATAAAAAAAAAACATTTCAAATGCATTTAAAATTGGTATTCCTCATTTAATATAAAAAATAAACTCAAACTCACTACAGTGTACAATCAGATAAAAAATTTATAAAAACCCACTGTATATTTCACAATGTTGATATTAAATCTCTGAGATAAAAAGAAAAATGCTAATGCAGTTTAAACTATCTATACTAAAATTTAAATGACGTTAAAAACTTTTTGTCATTTTTAAAACTCATAGGCATAGATTATGTCACACCACAAAGACTACGCCAGTTTTACCTTTTTTAAACAGTTTTTCTTTTTAGTAATAATAATATTTACAGGTTTCATTAACCTATTTTGTTTATCACTCAATACTAGTTCATTACAAATACTTAACCAATGTTAACCAAACTAGACAAAAAAACCTCAATTCAGTGGAGCAACAACAAATTGTGTTGAGTCGTTTTGGTGTCGGATAAAATGAAGGTTAAAGTATGTTTTTGGATCACAGGGTGATTTAAAGTGGTCTAGGCTAGATGAAGCTGTATACAGAGAATATTATGATTTTTATAATAAAAATGTTTAGAAAAATTTCTCTTTATTCTTAAAACATATTAATGATAGGTATCCTCTGTAATGTAAAATAAGTATTATAATATAATATTTACATTGAAATTGTTTCATAATATTCATATTGAACTTGTTTTTTTTTATGTACAACAAAAAATATACGTTGCAAAAACTAAAAGAAGATAAGCCACAAAAAGATATGCAAAGAAGATAAGATACAAGAAGATAACTGTAGAAGATCGATTAAAAGAAGATTAGCCACAAAAAGATATGTGTTGATAATTTGTAATATTTTTTTTTTTTTCTAAAATATTAAATTTTTATTAAAATGCATTTACGCAAAGTTTTTGTTTTTTTATTTTTCTGCGTTACCATTATGGCGCAATTTAACGTAATATTTTAGCGCCTATTCTGGAAAATACCAAAAGCGAACACCAAGATTATTCGTTCCGAGAATTTACAAACTTTACCGAGTTTAGCGTGCGCCGTGTACAGGTCCGCCTTCTATTTTACCATGCCACTTAAAAAATACGAAGATTTTTTGAATTTATCTGTTAAACAGCTTGTTAGTTTTTTAATTGTTCGTGGGCTAAGTACTACTGGACGCAAAGTCGATCTTGTTGCAAGAGCATTTTCTGCAATGGAATTAAATATAGATGTTATAGAGACAGCAGAAGAACAGGAAAAAAAACTTAACCAATCTTATACGGACAAGCTAAAAGCTTTAGATCTAATTGACCCAAACTCTGTTCCAATGGAAAATAGAAAGGACTTAGTATCTGAGTGGCCTAGAATAACAATGGGAAATATTTTTTCATATATTCTTAATAAAAAATATTTTGATTCGGAATATATTGGCAAATATAAGGACCAAAAAGCATTTTCATTTTTCGATAGTGGTTTTGTAGGCCCAATAATGCACTTCAGGTTTAAAAAAGATATTTTATTCGCATATTCTGAAGTGTGTGGTTCGCAAAAAATTCACAAAAAAAGAAAGCTTTGGATTACCTTTTGTAATAATGATATTCTTTCTGGTTGGTGTTTGTGTATGGCTGGAGCTTTTGAAGTTTGTAATCATGTCATTGCCACCCTTTATAAAATTGAATATGCTAATAACAAAGGTTGGTGTAATCCAACATGCACAGAACAAGCTTGTATCTGAAATAAGTCTTCTAGAAAAGATATAAAACCGTGCTTAATAACTGACCTAGTTGTTAGAAAAAAAATTGCGAATAATGAAAAAAATGATAATAATAAGGAAAACACAAGGATGAAAGCATTGCAAGAATTCGATCCAAGAATCGAAAGTCATCGTGAATTTAATGAACATTCATTTGAAACTTTTTTAAACAACGTTCATATATCTGAGCCTTCTGCTGTAATATTTAAATCAAAAAATAAAAAATCTGATGAAAATATTGTAAGTAATCCTGATCTTGAAAAGCTATCATTTGAAATACTTTTAGACCATCCTAACGCTGATGAGTCAACATTAGGCAAAATATTATTAGAAAAAATGGTTTTAACACATGAAACAATTAAAAGCGTGGAATATAACACAAGAGATCTAGCTAAAAGCAATACTTGGTTTCAAATGAGAAAAGGGAGAATAACTGCATCCAAACATCACAGCATATATACCAAAGTTAATACTCTTTCTAGAAATACAAATTCTAAGAAGCCTAAAACAAATCCTCTTGTTGCTGAGATTTTATACCCTCATAAAAAAAAACATTTGTTATATGTTTTTACTGCTTCTATCAAATGGGGAATTGATCATGAGCAAGATGCTATAAAAAAATTTTATGCAGAGCATGTATCAAATCACACTGATTTAAAAATTGAAAAAAGTGGTCTCTTTATTTTGTATGACAGACCTTACATTGCTTGCGCCCTCAAGATGGATTTATGGTATGCAAATGTCATGGTAGAATGTGTTTAGAAGTTAAATGTCCTTTTAAAATTTTTAATAAAACAATCAAAGTAGGAGCTAGTGAATGTAATTTCTTTACAATAAAAAATGATCAAATAACATTAAATAAGTGTCATAAATATTACACACAGATTAATTCCCAAATGGCAATTACAAATTGCAAGTCAGCATATTTTATTGTTTGGACGCTTAAGGACTTATATGTTGAAGTAATCGAATTTGATCAAGAGCTCTGGGATACGGTGAAAATAAATTTAGATATTTTTTTCAATACATATGTTTCTCCAGCATTATTACTAATAAAACCTATAACATTCTGTGGAAAATGCGATAAACTTATACTCGAAGATCCAGAAATCAATGTTAAAGAATTTAATGAATTTAGCAGTATTCAATGTAAAGTATGTTGCGCTTGGTTTCACTGTTCATGTCAAAATTTAAAAAAAGAAGACTATGAGTTAATAGCAAATCTAGACTGGGTTTGTTGCATGTGCTCAATGTCTAGTTTATGTTTAGCTTAAATCTTCAATGGATATTTTATTAAGAGTTGTAGATAAATATGTTGTTTTTATTTACATTTTTTTTAATTCTTTCTGCATTTTCAAAAAATTTTCAAAAAAAAGTTTTTTCGGGGCTGGTTTGGTTTAAAAAAAAACACTAATTTTTTACACATCTTTCAAACCCTAGTTGATATAAACTCATATTATAATAATAACCTAAAGTTTGGACAGTGGAACATTATTATATAATAAAAAAAACTATTTAGTAAACTAAATTTGTTTAATGAACTATTTAGAAACTAATGGTTTTCTCAAGTTTGATATAGCAGCACATACGCGTAGTATATTATTCATGATAGGTAGGTATAGTAATGGCTGTGTTATTTTTAAAACACGGAAATGTTTTATCCTTTTTATTGCTTGCTCCACATAAATACGTACATTAGCAATGTTTGATGTTTCTCAAACTTCTTCTTTTGACATTTGAATTCCTTTAACAGCACTTGGAGGTATACAAAGAGTACACTGTTTATATGCAAGGCCTGTCCTTATTTTAAAGCCACGATCTGCCATAACTTGGTCATAGGGCTCAAGTATATCAAGAAAACCACTATTTCTGACAATAAAAATGTCAGAGGCACGTCCACCATAAAGGGGAGACAGCCATGAAATGGCTCCATTCGGAGTTATTGCTATTAAAAAATTAACTGTTGCATGATGTTTATAGTCACTCCACATACAAGCTTGAACATCAAGAGCACTTGATGTTTCAAAAAATATTTCAGAACAATCTATAATTGTTCTCACTTTTGGATATAATCGCTTAAAACAGTTTGGCATAGTTGCTCGAATTGTATTCCGGCTAGGCCACAAGATTAGGTTGTCCAACTCTTTAGATAACAATATTACCCATGTAATAATAATTTGGGAAACTGTTCCAGCTGATATACAAAAGCGAAAAGCTAAATCTTCAATTAAAAGACCCAAACGTAATCTCATCATAACTAAAAGAAATTCCTGTTCCAGTGAGATTTTTCTTTTAGGTCCGCTTTTTCTCATAGGAAATAAGTTATCGCTAATAGTATAATCTTCTGATAAGTGTAGCTGCTCGACTGATTCAACACTGGACATGGTTTTTCGTAATCGATTTGTTCTCTTATTTCCATCCCAGTATTTCATAACTGGTGCTTTGTGCTTGACATAATTGAAAACACTTTGAAACATTTTTCATTTTGTAAACCTGTAAAAGTCGATACATCTGAGTCCCTAGTAATATGACAAAACTGTAAAGCAGTATTTGTTGATAATAGAGTAGGCTCTATATTATTTTTAACACTGTAGTCTGCTTTATTCTTAGACAAAATTGGATTTACAGTGTCTTTTTCTTTGGGAGAGGCGGGTGGGTGTAATAATTCTTTGGGAGAGACGGAGATGTGTAATAATTCTGCTGCAACTGCATCGCCACTAACATATGGAGTTATTTCGAACGATATTAAGCTTTCTTCGTCTGAAGAAACAATCATAAGATCTGACAACTCTTCAGCTGTAAGGGTATCCGAGTTAGAGTTAATAGATTCAATCATTTTTGAAGAAACAGGTTTTACAATAGATGTTGTTCTAATTTTTGGAGGAGGTCTTGATTGTTTTTTTTCCGGAGTACATTGAACATTCATGGTGTATGTCAAAAAGAGTGTTGGGTTAGGATTTTCATAAGTGGGCATGCGATCGACAAAATGATTAGAGCAGATTTTAAAATGTTTAGGTATAACAACGTGTTTTCGTCCTTTAGAAACTGCATGAATCCATGATTTTCTTGTTTTTCCATCAACAGTCAATTTGTGGAAACATAATTTTCCAGATTTAACGTTAGGGTAAGGCGGGGTGAATTCGTCACGGAGCGAATCCGTCACTTATGCGACTCAGCTTTAAAATAATAATGCATAAAAACTAAGAAATCTATTAACTAGGTTTTTTCGAAACTTTTTCAACTGATATTTGTAGAATATTACTAAATAAATGTTTTATATATTTACCTCCGATTATTCTTTAAATATTGCAAATAAACATTGAAGTTGAAAAAACATTTTTCTGCTTAAATGCCTATCGTCAAAAAATTATCAAAATACGCAATGTTTTGACCACAAAGTATATATTTTTTGATTGATTGATGTCAGTAGTTTTTAAATAATAATTTAAGTTACTATGTTTTTGCCTTTGGAATCGTCACGTAATGATTGTTAGCACATGCTCAAATGAGGGGCAACTTCGTCGTTAAAGAAAAGTTAATACGAAAAATAAATTAGGTTGTTTCATCATGCAAATTTTTAAACTACCGAGCGCCGTTTGAAAGAAAAACAAATTGTGATCAAAATGCGCTCCAAAACTTTAGACATTTATAAGAGAAAGGCTCTTCAGAATATATTAATTTACAGTTAGCTTTTAAAACTTTTTGAAGTTTTAATTATAAACACGACTTTGATGTGAAACATGTAAACAAACTTATTATAATGTATAGTCTGAAATATATATACAGTAAATAATAAGTATATATTATATTATATATTATATAGCAAAGATCTTATTCTATTTTAAAAAATATATATAATATTATACTATTTAGTATAACTATTATATATTGTAAAAAGTAAATAGTAAGTATATAGTATAAAATGTGTGTACAGTATAAAATATCTGTTATAAGTATTTTTTGTAGTATTTATTATAAACAAATGTATCATTCATTGGAAATTATAAAGCATTTATATATATATATATATATATATATATATATATATATATATATATATATATATATATATATATATATATATTATATATATATATATATATATATATATATATATATATATATATATATATATATATATATATATATATATAATATATATATATATTTTTTTTTGTGTATATATATATATATATATATATATATATATATATATATATATATATATATATATATATATACATATTGTATATATATATATTTATTTATATATATACCAATATAAAAAAAACTAAGAATGTATTATTACTTATGGTAGATTTTAATAACATTATTTTTCATGTTAAAATGTATAGATGGTACGTAATTATAAACCAAAGCGACAAAAAAATTATAATGCAGAAATTTTTCAGGCTGCTCTGCAAACCATTATAGATGGAGAAACTATATCAACTGCAGCAAAACAATTTAATATTCCATGTACAACGTTGATTGATAAATTACGGGGAAAACATCAAACACATTCTATAGGTGGTAAAACAATTTTCTTTAAAAATCAAGATGAAACTCTTGTTCAAAGGCTGCTATATATGGCTGATAGAGGGTTTCCTCTCACAATAATGTGGTTAAGATCTGCTGCTTATTTCTATGCCAAAAGCTTGTGTAGACGTCATTTATTACAGAAGTCCATTCCAAAAAGTTGGCATAATAAATGTTTGGCATCACGTGATTGGTTTCTCTCATTCCGAAAAAGGCATACTCAGTTGACACTAAGAATTCCTGAAGGGCTTTCTCGAGCAAGAGCAGAAGCATTTAATGAGAATCGCGTTCAGACATTTTTAAACGATTTACAACCTTTTTATGAACAGCTTGACATAAAAAATTATCCAAATTTGATTTATAACTGTGATGAAACTGGCCTTTCATCTGTGCCAAATGTCTCTGTTAAGGTAATAGCATTAAAGGGTTCTCATCAGGTACAAAAGTTAACTATTGGTGAATGTGGCACACTAACAACATACCTGGCCACTGTTAATGCAGCAGGAGACAGCTTACCACCATTTTTCATATTTAGGGGAACAAAGATTCCAGATGCATCTAAATTTCCTTTGGGTACAAAAGTGCATTGTAGTCAAAGTGGATATATTGATCAAGAGATTTTTATTGCTTATTTACATCATTTTAATGAGTTTTGTACAAAAGTGAATGGGAAAAAAGTATTGTTATTTTTGGATGGCCACAAAAGTCATGTGACTATTGAAGCGATTGAATTAGCAATAAAGATGGATATTGAAATAATATGCATTCCACCTCATAGTACACATTGCCTTCAACCACTTGACACACATGTTAATAAAGTAGTTAAACATATGTGGTCTGAAGCCTTGTCTAATTACTTAGCTGAAAATGATGATATTTCTTTGCCTCATTGCAACTTTCACATTATTTTTAACAAAATATGGCCAAATATACTTACAAAAAGAGGATTGATTGTTAATGCGTTTTACCATTGTGATTTGCATCCCCTAAGAAACCCAGTAAAAGATTTCGAATATAAAAAAGCAGAGGTTTTTAATAAAGCAACAATTCACCAGGGAGACCAAAATTTATCTATTTTAAGGACTATTATACCTTCGCCTGAAAAAAAAGGAAACCTACTCATTCAAAACGCCACATTGCTCTTATTACATCATTAGGTAATGTTAAGTTAATAGAGCCTCCTGCTAAAAAGGCTGCAATAAAAAATGTGGTCAGTGTTAAACAGAAGTCAAAAAAGGATCACGATAAATCAGTTAAAACCAAATCAAAAAAGACTTTTTTTTCAGCTGATTCTGATCACCCAAGTTCTTCAAGTTTTATTCTAAAAAATAACACTGATAAAGACTTTTGTTGTGTTTGTGCAGCTGTTTGGGCAGAAGCAAGTGAAGATTGGCTTAAATGTTTAAATTGCAATCAGTGGGCATGCGAAGGATGTTTTGGAGTTGATACATGTGCAAGTTGTGTGCAATGAACATATAAACGTCTTGTAAATTTTTAAATAGTCATAGTAGTGATATGATTTTTGTTATTTAAATAGTCATAGTAGTGATATGATTTTTTGTTGCTTTAACGTGCTATTTTTTGCGCTAGCGCGGTTATACGGTTTTCATTTATGCCAAAATCATTATTTGATATTTTCTTGGAAAAAGTTTAACAATTGATGTCCTTTTAGATGTCCTTTTTGATGTCCTTTTACCTTAGGCCACTGCAGTCGAGGAGGCTACTTTAGTTGTGTTTACAACTCTCTCTCAACTCTATAACTCCGAAACACGAACCTTGACGATCAAGGTTCGTATTTCGGAGTTATAGAGTTGAGAGAAAAACAAGTTGAGCGCAGTACTACCAGGGACGCGGTGGGAATCGAACTCGCAACTTCTAGGTTTACTTCTAGATTAGGGAAATCATCCTACTGTGACCTCAAAAATGTTTTATGTCAAAGTTTTTTTCTCCTAGGTAAGTTGCCTTTACCACTAGAAAGGAATTTCGTCTATCGCCCGAGTCACGAATTTTTAAATTAGTTTAGCTGTACTGACGAATTCGCCCCGTAATTGACGAATTCGCCCCTCATGACTTGATGATGAAAAAATCAAATTATATGCTAAAGTAACTTTAGAATTCATTTTGATTCAATACATTAACAAAATAGAGACCCTAATTAATAAAAAAAAGTTTTTAAACTAGAAAAGTTCACTTATTTATATGCGAATTCATTTTGTTAAAGTAAAACATGATGAACTCGCCCCGCCTTACCCTACTATGTATTTCGTAACGCTCTAGATAACGTTTATCGTTATTGCAAATACCAACTACACAGCGATCATTAACCATAATGTTTTTTTAACTGAGATAGTAAACAGTAAAAACTTAGTAATGAACACAACATGATAATAAATATTCAAACAAAAAGATTAATTAAAAGTTAAAACTTAATTAAAAGTTAAGAGAATAACCAAAGTTATATTATACAGAATTATTTTTAAACAATAAGAAAGCAAATAAATTCTTTGCAAAAACTCACTACTTTAATAAGAATAATTTTTTGGTTTGTATCTTTTTCTATTTTATTGAGGTAAAAGTATAAATAAAATATTCTTTACTAAATTTTTTTCGACTTTTATTTTATTTGTGTTTATTTTTGTTAACGTATATCATTTTTAAAATTACACACCTGATGTATTTTTTCTTATTTGTTATTTATTTGTTATTTACCTGATGTATTGTTTCTTATCTTTTTCTTATATGTTTATTATTGGTTTGTTTACATTTTTGCCCTCCCGAGAAAAACATTGCATCACGTGATTCATAATAGCCGCTTAATTACGAAATCTTCTATTGTGTATGTTATAAAGAAATAACGACTGTGACGTGTTGTGAATTATATTTTTAAAAAATT